TTCCTTCCTCCCTTCCTCCCTTCCTCTCTTCCTTCTCTCTCTCTCTCTCTCTCTCTCTCTCTCTCTTTTTCTCTTTCCCTCTCTCTCACTCTGTTCCTCACACAAGGACATTTTTTTCCAATGCTTTCAGGGACAGTGGGAGGGAGGGAGGGTGGGAGAGAGAGGGGGAAACGTCCATGTGAGAGAGACGCAGTGACTGGTTGCCTCCCATACCCGCCCCTACTGGGGGTGGGGAGCGAACCCACAACCCAGGTGCATGGCCTTGACTGGGAATTGAACCCAGGACCCTTTGGTGTGAGGGCTGATGCTCTAACCACTGAACCACAGTGGCCAGGGCCTGAGCCCTACTTTTAGTAATGAAATGCTTGGTTCCTGGCCAGAGCCAGGTGTAGGTGTCTTCAGGGGAAGAACAAGCGCAGCCTTCCCGTTACAGCTGACCTTCTGGGGTAGTATGTTTACCCAGTTCCTGCGGTGACCTCTTGGTCTTGGAGTATTAATAATCCTTCGCAAAGGTGACTAGTAATGAGTGGGGTGACTCTTAAGATCTTAGTTACAATAACGCCCCACCCAACAGGCTTTTATTTTTGGCTCTACACAGCAAACACTGCTTATTCCCCAGAACATTTCATTCACAAAAAACAAGTTCACATTTTGAAGTACTGTGTTTTGCATGTTTGGTCTCTTCTGGGGGTGTCATAGGCATAAATAATTGTCAATCCCAGTAGCTATATTTGTCAAAAGCACTTCAGGTTGCAAATGAGTTTAACCACATCATAAATTGATACAAAATGGGTCTTCGTTCTCTGTTTATTACAGATACAGGACTGAAAATGAAGAGCCTGAGTCCCAGTCCTCCGCGTGTAACGTGTTCTTTAGCCTCAGGCCGCAGAGCTGCAGGTAGGAAATCAGTACCTGGCTCCCGTATGAGCTCCTCTCCTTCCCATTAAGCAAGAACATGGAAATAATTTTACGGGAGAAAGCCCACAGTTTAAGAAAATATGATACCTGGTGAAATGTGTTCAAACATTAGAACACTCAGGTTGATACGAGGGATCGAGAGAAACGACTGGGCTGGTTTTATTGCGAAGTCCGGCAAGTCACTGTTTGGTTGGTTTGAGAATCAGCGAGGTGAGTGGTGTCGCCTGTTTAAAGGCAGGACGACGGCAGGAATTCAGATTCAGGCCTTGGGCTCCAGGCTCGCTCAGAGGCGCTGACGACCCGATCGCAGCGCAGCAGAGCGCAGGCCCTTCCAGATTGTCAGACTTCCATTTACTCCAAAGGGCTGATTGACGATTTTGACAGAAGACTCCTTTTCTATAGCAAGTGTTCATAGAATGTTTTATGAAAAATTCCTGTTAAAAAACTCACAGCCTCCCACAGAGTACATTTTGCATATATTTTAAAAACAGTTTTTCTTCCTCACATGATTTTTCATATTCTCCTAGCCCCCAGAGCTCTTTCTCTTGGTTACCTGCCCAGCATCCACTATTCCTTCCCCCTGACATTACTCTATTTCCTCTGCAGGACTCCAAGCTTTCTAGACTTTCAGCCAGGTTTCTGGGACAGAACTGACCCTCTGCTCCAGAGGCGAGTTCTGATGGTGACAGTTATGCGCTAATTAGCATATTCTTTCCCTCTGGTCTCAATGATTCCTCAGGCAGTGGGTGGATAACTTAATCAAAGCTAATCTGATGGAAGGAGGTCTTTGTCAGGGCTCCTCCCACTTCTGTAGGAGCCACTAGAAATGGTTCATTCTTTCCCGCTGCGTGTAAAAAGGCCCCAGGGGGAAGGGAACAAATAGCAAATCTGCCCTCTTGGAGCACTCATGCCAGTAGGAAGGGGCAGGCTCGGTCTGATCCCCAGCAGGCTCGTGCAGGAGGCAGCTCTCTCCCTCTCCCTTCCTCTCTTGGAAATCGATAAAAACATATTTTAAAAAAATAAAGTCGTGAGATTGGATGAGATAAACAAGTTAAGTGTGATCATTTGAAAAGGGTCCAAGGACTTTAGCATTTAGTGGTTGGGGAGTTGAAGAATTACCAGCAAAGGAGATTGCGAAGGAGCAGCCAGAGAGATAAGATGAAACCAGTAAGCGAATAAAGTGTTTTTCCTGTGTTGTGGTTCCACATTCCTCCCTCCCCAT